GGTCTGTGCAGCAGCTTCCTTCAGGTGCATCCCAAACCAGCCATGAAACTGCCCCAAAGTGCTTTTCAGCTGTGAAACACCACTCCGGTCGAGGAGGTTTCTCCCCGGGGTGTTCCTGCCACGGTGCTGCTCAGCACAGGGGCACATGGAAGAGTCGGGACTGCCCCACCAGAGACCCGTGCCGGGAAAAACCATCGCTCGCCCCAGTAACGCCAACTTCAGCTTAGGGGTGACTTGGATGGGAGAGGGGCTTTACCGGCCGCGCCGAGCTCGGCGCTGCTCCGGCTGGGAAAGGAAATGCAGCTGCAGAGCAGCTCCGGCAGCGCCGGGCAGCCTCACCTTCTCAATGTCCACCAGCTCGGCCTCATAGATCTCGGCAATGGTGATGTGGTGCTTGGCAGCGATGGTGAACCGCCCCTAGAGAAGGCAGAGGGTGCCCGTGAGGTGGGGGCTCCCCCTCCGCCCCGCACGCACGGCGTTTTCCGAGCTGCATCTCTCACGAGGACACCGGCCCCGCGAGCTGCCGGCGCAGCCTCTTACCATGTCGGTGTAGATATCGATAGCTGCATTTAAGCAGTTGATGGCCTCTGCAGCATGAGCGTTCGGGAAAAACAACAAAGTCAGCCAGCACCATGGAATTCCCAGCCCAAGACCCGCCCCCCTCCCTTCAAACGTCGGATCTCGGTCACGTTTCTCATCACCAGACCACAAACCAGCCTCCTCAGTAAGCACCTTCTCACACGTGTCCGTCTCTCTGTTGGGAACAACCAGCATTTTCAACCCCTAAGACCTACAGACGTGACATCCTCTGCGTTTTTCCATCTGAGGATCTGATCCCAATTCACCCACTCCAAACAGCCCGGATCCCACCAACCGCCCGCCGGTGCGCTGGGAAAAAACTCTGACGCTGACGAGGAACAGTCAAAAATCAGGATGGGCAAAATATAAACGACTTGTAGGCCAGGTTTGTGGGGCTGCGTCCTCAAACAGAGCAAAATTCCAAAATGCTCATCTCCCAAACACGCGGGGACTGTCTGTTTTCTAGGAAATGTGGGGGGTTTACGATTATAAAACAGTATTATCGGCCCCGAGTTAGTTTCTTCAGCCCCCCGGGACAGGAAAGCACGGGCAGTGCTGGTGGGCTGCTCAGTGTGTTTCCCAATGCCCAGCTGGGATAAGGGGAATCGGAGTCTTCCACAAAACCACAACCCTCCTCTGTGCCACCGGATTTGAAGAATCCAGATCCTGTATCCTCATCCCGCCAAAGGTCGGTCCATTTTCCTCCTGCCTCGGGGAAACCCCTGGGAACGGGGCTGGGGCTAAGGGCAGGGATCCCACTGCGATCCAGTCCCGAGACCTGCCTTAAGTGTTCCTTAAGAAGTAAGGATTTCCCTAAAGTCAAGGGAAAAATCGAAGGAAGTCGGAAGGGAGCTACCGAGGTCACAACCAACGCGCTGCAGCGTACGCCGAAGCGCCAGCCATCACCCTACGCGTCCCGATCCATACGGCACACCGAGCCGACCAGCTCGCATCCTCTCAATGCCCATTTCGGGGAAGCAGAAATGCAGGAGATACTCCGGCTTTTGA